TACACGGCTGCTTGCCTGTGTGCGTATCCCCTCCACTTGCTGTAGCGTGCTGTAAGAGAGTCAAAACTGGGCACACTGCCTCCGATCCAGTGTGCCCAGTTTTGACTCTCTTACAGCAGAGATGCCAGTTTTGAGACGCTTGCAGCATACAGCAGCAAGTGGAGGAGATATGCACACAAGCGAGCAGCCACTCGCCGAAGCGCTGAGCGCACACGCACACGGCTGTTCGCCTGTGTGCGTTTTGTCTGTGTATCCCCTCTACTTGCTGAGCATGCTGCAAGCGTCTCAAAACTGGCATCTCTGTCTTACAACACGCTGCAGCAAGTGGAGGGGATACGCACACAGGCGAGCAGCCGTGTACGTGTACGCTCGACGCTTCGGCCGTCTTCGGGCGGTAGAAGAGAACAGAGATATGTCTACTGTCTCTTTTTTTCAACATAGCTATAGCGTACGAGACTAGCGCGAGCGGCTAAGTCTCGCGCTAGCAGCTGTTTATCATTTTTCACCGTTTGTCCTCGTTCTTGCACTTATTTATTTACAGAAACATTTCGATTAAATAAAAAAATATTAACACCATAAAAGAATAATTAGAAAAATGAAACATATGAGGAGCATAAATGAAAAGTGAAGAATATAAATTCACTCTTGGCCAATATGTACGTCTTTTTGATACTTAATTATATATTTAGCAAAATTGTTGTTAATATAAAATACATATAGATAAAAATATATTTTAATGTTGTTTGTTACGTAAAAAGTATTATGTTAATATACTTTTTACTTTGCACTCGCAATTACATATAATATACATTAAAAGAAAAAAAGTATTCTTGCAATAAGAATTTTATTATATTTAAGTTTTAGAAATGAACTACGTACACATTGTTGCTCAACGGAAACCGCGAGACGGCGGTTAGGTGTTTTCTTCCGTCAAAAACAATGTAAAACATTTGTTTTGTACAATATTATAATAAATGTTTATATATACGTTTTTTAGCATAAAAAATAATAATAGATTAAATAATTGAAATAATTCTACATGTTATAATATAAAACAATGTTTCAATAAACATATAAATAAATACAAATATATAAAAAGTAATACACTATTTACAAAACCAATATTGTGCATTTCCAAAAAGAATATAGATAGAACAGAACAGGTAAAAGCTTAGATAGAAAGGATAGAAGTAGAAAAGATAGATGAAATAAGAAGATAGAAAAGTAGGAGAAATAGATAAGGAAAGAACAAATAGAATATAGATTAAAAAATTGGAAAAAAATCCCGACAACATATGTAAAAATTGACCTTGACAACATATGTAACAATTATTGAAATCGAAGGTGGCTCCCCTATTCTACATAATTACCCTTTCACGCACACACAAGTCACTCTCTTACCTATTATCTTATTTTTTTCGCAACTGGTGGCTCTATGCAAAAAATGCATACGACATAAATGATGTATTTTTTCAAGAGCTACAACTTTTATTTGAAACATTTTTTGTGCTATAAATATTTATCAAAATAATGTTAAAAAAACGATAATTTTTTAGTTTTGACCTTGAAAATGACATTTTCGGTGATTTTCACTATCATATTCGTAATCAGCGCACCAAAATACAGTAGTATACCAATCGACAGAAAAATCGGGTGTTTCAGGTTTTCGGAACTTTATACTGGGATTTTTTTTCAATTTTTTAATCTATATTCTATTTGTTCTTTCCTTATCTATTTCTCCTACTTTTCTATCTTCTTATTTCATCTATCTTTTCTACTTCTATCCTTTCTATCTAAGCTTTTACCTGTTCTGTTCTATCTATATTCTTTTTGGAAATGCACAATATTGGTTTTGTAAATAGTGTATTACTTTTTATATATTTGTATTTATTTATATGTTTATTGAAACATTGTTTTATATTATAACATGTAGAATTATTTCAATTATTTAATCTATTATTATTTTTTATGCTAAAAAACGTATATATAAACATTTATTATAATATTGTACAAAACAAATGTTTTACATTGTTTTTGACGGAAGAAAACACCTAACCGCCGTCTCGCGGTTTCCGTTGAGCAACAATGTGTACGTAGTTCATTTCTAAAACTTAAATATAATAAAATTCTTATTGCAAGAATACTTTTTTTCTTTTAATGTATATTATATGTAATTGCGAGTGCAAAGTAAAAAGTATATTAACATAATACTTTTTACGTAACAAACAACATTAAAATATATTTTTATCTATATGTATTTTATATTAACAACAATTTTGCTAAATATATAATTAAGTATCAAAAAGACGTACATATTGGCCAAGAGTGAATTTATATTCTTCACTTTTCATTTATGCTCCTCATATGTTTCATTTTTCTAATTATTCTTTTATGGTGTTAATATTTTTTTATTTAATCGAAATGTTTCTGTAAATAAATAAGTGCAAGAACGAGGACAAACGGTGAAAAATGATAAACAGCTGCTAGCGCGAGACTTAGCCGCTCGCGCTAGTCTCGTACGCTATAGCTATGTTGAAAAAAAGAGACAGTAGACATATCTCTGTTCTCTTCTACCGCCCGAAGACGGCCGAAGCGTCGAGCGTACACGTACACGGCTGCTCGCCTGTGTGCGTATCCCCTTCACTTGCTGCAGCGTGCTGTAAGAGAGTCAAAACTGGGCACACTGCTCCGATCCAGAGATGCCAGTTTGCGGACGCTAGCGGCCTGCTCAGCAAGTAGAGGGGATACACAGATGAAACGCACACAGGCGAACAGCCGTGTACGTGTGCGCTCAGCGCCTCGGCGAGTGGCTGCTCGCTTGTGTGCGTGTCCCCTCCACTTGCTGCTGCATGTGCTAACGTCCGCAAACTGACATCTCTGCTCCGATCCCGCGGCTACTCTTCGAATTCCTGACGCGCTGTGTACACACACACACACACACACATACACACATGTTGTAATTATTCTGTATGGTAGAGCAAATAGCTTGAAGAGAGCTATTAGGAGATTAGTAGAACATACAGAAGTGACCATCGACGAACAAAACAACTCATCGGATGAAAAGCAAAGTAGTAAGATGCCAAACATCACCATAACATCCGATTCTTCGATAAATACTGCGACAAGTGAGTTGGCCAACTTATGACGATAAAGTGAGTTCCGTATATTACTCATCAAAGCTGCATTTTTATAATGTATGTTTTTTTTAAGATAAAAAACAGCAATTGGATATTCGCAGCTTATTACAAACAGACCAAGTTGACAACATTAGTTTAATGCCAACTATAGAATCAGGTAGCAGCGTCGAGATTTCACCTTGTCCAAGTCCTACTCCTAATGTCGCGCGTTTGAGTCCAATGCCGGACTTACGAAGAGATTCACAAGCTGAGGAACTACTAACTCTACCCGCACCTGACGGATTCGCTGACAGTAGGCGAAACAGTGAAAACATTTTACGAAGGTAATTTTTCCATTCTCATTTAACTTTAATAATGTATCTATATTCCATTGTTTAAATTTTAAATAGCTTACATATATTTTAATTTAGTACTTTCAGTTTTGATGTGCCCATAATACAAACTACCGGTCAGCAAGAAATACAAGCAGCTACTAAAGACAATGTTTTGTTATTCGAACCTACACAGATAGAATCTTCTGATATTCCAATAACCGTCACAAAGACTATAGATACAAGTACACCATCAGATGACGCAACCATGCAAGACGCAATTATTTCTCCTGATACAGATTCAATTCATTCTAGAAATATCTCGCTAGAACAAACGTACAGGTCGACAGCATTTAAATGTACTGAACCTAGAGGTAGCTGTACTAACAGCATTATTAGTACAGACAGTATGGTTTCTGAAACCTTGGATTCTAAAAGTTATACCGTTCGTAATAGCGAAAGTGAAATTGGTAAATAAACTCATCAATGTGATAAACGTTGTAAAAAAGCTAAGTAGTATGTATTTTATATCTAATTATTAGATAATTTCTCTCACACTTTTCAGAAAATATAGACAGCGATATCTTTGATTCTACGAAGAGATCCGAGAGCTCGGAAATCGGTCATATCGATTCGCCAGACAATTCGGATATGCTTTTGAGTGAAGCGCAATATTCAGAAAGCGGCTTAGAAGATTTGAGTTCCCTCAGACAGGATGTAATTAGTGCTATAATGGGCGAGAAATATGATTCTGTTAGAGAAGGTTTAGAAATGGAGGAACCGCAAAAATCTTTTGGTTTAGCTCATTTTGATGCAATGAATGATATTGCGAGAAAATCTTTCAAGAGAAAAAATATAAGAACGGAGGTGTGCCAAATATTTCAAATATATCTTGTTTATTTTCTAAAAGTCATTAAACATATACAATTAATATATTGTATTTATATCAACAGGAAATGGTAAATAAATATAAAACTGACGGTTTTACAACATGTGTACGTCTATCGGGAATGAAGTCGGAACCTGTGGAAACAAATATAATTTCTGAAGCTAGGTTTGAAAATATTGAGAAAGAAAAAGTATCGACTTTGTTAAGTCCTGTGTGCTGCTTCACCGTCACATCGGATAAAACACAGCTGGAGGAAAAATGTTCGGCGATTTTTCCACCGCAGATTAGTGTTATCATCGATCCACCAAGCCCATCTTTGTCAATTGAAAGTCATCATAAACTTAACTTAGATTACAGACTAGATCCTCATAATAAACAATACTGTAGCGGCGATAGTATGGAAAGATGTAATTGAGATATATTATATGTGCATTACTTCCATATACGCATATATAATGATAATATTTTTTCTACCCTCAGTAAGCGTGGAGTTGCCCGACACGGGCTTTTCTCCGCAAGGCACACGGCGTATCAGTAGCAGCAGTTTGTTGAAGGAGGTTGTGTCGTTGGCAGCAAGCACCGCTCGTCTAGGTGGTTCAAGTGTTAGCTTACGCTCCGGTCGAGAAAGATCGAAATCTATGGAAAAAACAGAGAAAAAACTTCCAATAATAAATCCTTTAGTCCGATTGCCTATGTGGCCACGTAAGACAAAAATACAATATCAAAATTTAAATATTTTCTATTGTGTGTAGAATTATTGGTGTTTTAAATGCATTTTATAGATGTAAGTGTTGGAGTTGGTCTTGTTAGTCAAGCGTTACTGGCAAATGCAGATGCTCTGTGCGCGGCAGTATCGCCATTAATGGACCCGGACGAATCATTAATGTGAGTTATGCTTATGATTATACAGCTACAGTACATGATTCGATGAACCTGTATTATATTAGGGAAGGTTACTACGAACGATGCGTCATGAATAATTATTTTGGAATCGGCATAGACGCAAAAATTACTCTCGACTTTCATAATAAAAGAGAAGAACATCCCGAAAAATGTCGATCTCGAGCTAAGAATTATATGTGGTACGGCGTCTTGGGATCTAAGGAATGGTTGCAAAAGACTTATAAAAATCTTGAACAAAGAGTTCAGCTAGAATGTGACGGTCAAAGAATACCATTGCCTTCTTTACAAGGAATTGTTGTATTAAATATACCAAGGTATACTTATCGAAGAAAATATAACTAAATGTTCCCTCTAATTTTGATCTAATGTTAAAAATTTCAATCTCTAATAACAGTTTTATGGGTGGTACGAACTTTTGGGGTGGTTCAAAGGAAGGAGATATATTTCTAGCACCATCATTTGATGATCGCATTTTGGAAGTGGTGGCGGTTTTTGGATCTGTTCAGATGGCTGCTTCACGACTCATTAATCTACAGCATCACAGGATAGCTCAATGTCAGACTGTTCAGATTAATATCTTGGGAGAAGAAGGTGTTCCTGTACAGGTTGATGGTGAAGCTTGGATTCAACCACCTGGCATTATAAGAATTATACATAAGAATCGCATGCAGATGCTTTATAGAAATAGAGTAAGTGTATCTATCGTGATTTCTCAATATAATAAAAAAATTGACGTTTATTGCAATTAAAAACATTTCTCAGGCGCTTGAAACTTCGCTGAGAACGTGGGAAGAAAAGCAACGTAACTCAATAACCACTGTACCTCAATCTTCTTCCACTATATTACAGTCACAACCTAAAGCACAGTTGCAAATATGTAATAAGCCTTCTCAGCTGAACGATGAGGAGCTTAATATTCTACTTAATTTCATTGAGGCGGTAACGACTTTGGTAAAGTGGGTAAAATTGCTAATTATATCAAATCCAAGTCTAGAACCAGATCTGTATCAAATTGCTTCGCGAACAGCAAATGCTCTTGAACAAGTGCATCCAGACGGGAAAATCTTAGAAGGGGTAAGTAATATTTTAAGTAAGTAGAATATAGCTTAAGTAAGTAGAATATAGTTAAGGTTAATTATTATATGATCATTTGTTCATATTTGTTCTGCTTACTAACAGATAAGTTTAAGACCTGTGGTAACCGAATTGGTATCAAGCGCACGACAATTATATGAAGAATCTTGTGAGCTGCTTCGCAATAAAGCTCATAACTTGGTAAATATATTTTGTTATTGTATATTTATAATTTGTGTGTGTGTATGTCAAACAACATTAATACTTGTATACAAAAAATATAGAAATTACGAGAGGATCTGGAAAACAAGCTGTCCCTGTCTCTAGCTAGCATGGAACAAGAATTACGAAAGTGTATCTTTGACGTAGGAGGTACAGAATTGGTTTATTTGCAAAATGTTCCCGCAGATGATCAGGTACAGTACCTTTTTATGGTTTATGCAATGCACCGATCAAAATTTAATTCTTTAAAAATATAAGTTATGAAAATAACTATTCTAATATTTTTCTGTCATGTATTTTGCATTATGATAATATTTACACTTCTGGTGATATTTAATTAATAAATTTAATATGTAAAGTCATTTAAAGTAGCAAAACCTTGATTTAATGATTCTTGAAAATTTGTTCAAGATGTTATGTAGATATTTATGTGGAGCTAACTAGAAAATTGGATTTATATAAGATCTTTTTTTTTTTAATGAAGATACAATATGAAAAGTTATCTATTCATATTTCATAAATAGTTTTAATTCGTTTTTTTTACACGAGATAAAAATTCAAATAAAATATATTATACGCTCTGACAGATCAAAGTCTTCTTTTTTATCGTTTTATATTTGTTGTGATCGATATTCCATTTAGTTATTCGTAACAAACTTTATATATTTGTATTTATATTTGGACAGCATTATTCGAATTACTTGAGAATAGTATATTTTAGTAAATTTTGAAAAACTAAATCAGTTAAAATATATAAATATATAAACATGAGACGTACAGACGCAATGTATATTATGAAAGCACCTCTCTTTATACACATATATTTAACGCATACAAAGTTTCATACAATTTCTTTTTTAAAAGAATTTTATATAATTTGTTATACGTAATTGTTTCCAAATGATAATTAATAAATTATCCTATGCTTTATTTCGGATTGATTGAGTGCTCAATCTCAAGTGCTGGTAATATGCTTTTAAGTCTTCATGCTTATGATATTAGAGAAATAGAATTAGCGTTTAGTTTAGAGACTTAGAGTTTTGCAATGTAGCAAAATACGATATAAATTAATTTTATATATGTGTGTGTCGTATACGTGCATGCGTTACGCTGGAAAATGGATGTATTACTTTTAGATACTTTTTATTGTTTTTTGTTTATTCATGCTTATATGGTTTTACTTATATTTCATGGTAAGACACAATATGTATTATGTGAAACTTAATTATGTCGTATTTATTTAAATTAGCAAAAGCAATAACATACAAATCCGGATATGCACTTGAATTGTATGTAATTTATAACTTTTGCTTGTCTTATTATGTTTGTTGTTTCTAATAATAATTTTGCAACAAGTAAAAGGTTTTTGCACTGGTTAATTAGCACTAATAACGAGAGGGGAACTTTCGTGATTTTATTAGGAATTTCTTAAGAAATATATAAATATCGATAAAATACAGGAATAAATATAATGGAATATCTCCTATATATTAGTCTTATTATTACTATATAGATGTTAGAAAGATGTGTATTTACGGTACTTACGCGTCTGAAAATTATTGAAACGCGAATGTAAACAATAGTAGACTTTTTGGGAGCTATTTTGTGTGCCTGTCGAGTCTGATCGAGTATTATCACATCCCAAGTGCAAATTTCCACCTGCATATAATTAGCATGTCATTAACGTATAAAATAGCATACCGCTTTACACGCTTTACTAATCTAACTAATTGCATACTAACTGGTGTCTTAAACTCTGGATTTGCAGAGCGATAAAAAAAATCGTCATCGAGGGTTGTTCTGGTTAAAGTTTCGTCGATTTGCCGGCCAATCGAGCGGTACAGGAAATCTGGCGCGTGATCAAGTGACCACATGGAGCGTGCAGGAAGTGTGCACTTGGTTGGAGAATCTGCAGTTAGGAGAATACGCCGACAAATTCGTGTCTCATGATATACGCGGTAGAGAGCTGTTAACTCTAGCTCGTCGAGATCTAAAAGAGCTAGGCATCACCAAGGTGGGACATGTAAAACGCATCTTACAAGCCATCAACGACCTCAACAATTGAGCTACATGTCGCGTTCATGTAGAAATGTTAGGTTCGTATCTCTGCGAAACAAGGAATACGATATTATATAATTATTAGTATTTACCAGTATAAGTATGATTAATTTTTGACTCTCTTTCAAAGATATTACATTGTATAAATTACAATTTAATGTAATATTGTTCTGCGCATAGCACTGCATTACATTAATGCAACAACATAATCTTTTAAAACGATGTCTTGTTACACAACATATAATGACACAAATCTCAAGCGCATAAAAAAAGAACATACATACGTAATTGTTAAATTTGGAAGTCACTTTCATGTTTCTTGAATTAAAGATAAAAACATAATAATGCAATGCAATTAAAGTGCATGACATTCACAAACATATACTGATGTAAACTGTATACTCACATATGTTCTCTCTATTTGAACATACAAAATTAGTATAAATCTGAAATAAATACTTTCCTTTCTTTTCAAACATATATTAAAATAAAAAGAAATTGTTTTAAAATTACACATAACTTTCGTGATTATGTACATTCTGAGTACTGTATAAAAGTCAAAGGTAAGGTTATTATAGTTGTACTATCATAGCTTGACAAATTACATATTATCTCCCCTTACGGAAAAAACGTTCAACTGATTGACCTTAACGTACGAAATCACATTCAACTTGACCGTAAACGCTCAAAATTGAACGTATAACGCTGAATATTGAAAGTTTATAGTCAAGTTGAACGTGATTTCGTACGTTACGGTCAATAGTTGAACGTTTTTTCCGTAAGAGATCTCTCAGAGAAGTTACACACATTTGTTTCTTTTCTCTAATAATAAAACTTATGAGGTCTTTCTTTCCCTCTTTCTGTGCACACGCTATAAAGATAAATAAGTTAAATATATATATGTTTATTTTTATTTCTAACTTTGATAATTATTTCGAATAACTATTATATATTTCGATACAATAATATAAATATTTTTTTATATCAAAAGAAGATTCTCTCTTATATAATAAAGAAATAAAATTAAACTTATGAAAACAATATTTTTTATTAAGAGAAACCATTTTTCTTTTATTATAAATATACAAGCAATAATATTAAATTAGTACGATGAAAAGTTATCCTGATAGCCACCTGTCTGTATTTTTGTTGCCGAAAACAAAACGCTTGAGTTTTCAGCAAATGTAGAACAAGGTGAGTCAGGCATTTGTCTTTGGTTTGACATGACACGTATTCAACATGTGTTGCCGACAACTTGCTGTATATTTGCTGTCAACAGTTTATCACTAACATAAAGAGCAACATGACAACAAGTTGCCAACAACACGTGTCATAAATTTCAGCAAAAATACAATATGTTGAAAACGGACAAATATATATTTACTGACACATCGCTTTGTGAAGGAGAATTAATTAATTCGAGATTTCACTCAAATTAATCTTTGGAGATCTGATTTAGTTCGTCGATCAACTGATTAACTCGATGAAAGGTACCGGACCCGGAAAAAATCCTAAGGTGATGGGTGGGATTTGAACTCAAGACCTTCATATTTGCAATCCCTGCACTCAGTCCGCAAGACTACTTGTTCCTTACTAAAATATAATTATTTTGGTCTACTTATTGTAAAAGACGGTCATTCGTTTTCGACATTTAATGGGCTACAAGATAGAATAAATATATGTCAACAGTTTTTACCAACCATACGACAGAAGTACAGACATCGGTGTCTTGTTTTGTTATCGTCATGTTGCTCTTATGTTGCCGAAAACGAATGACAAAGCAAAGAGTTTTCTAAGAATAAAAGTAATTTTGTTGATAATGTAATGAGCAATAGTTGCTCTTCGTTTGCTCTGAATCTGCTGACACAAAATGTCTCAAATTTGCCTTCGTGTTGTCGATTACGTATGACTATGCATCATATTTTTAGCAAATACACAGCATTTAGTTGAAAACTTCAGCTCAGCATTAAGTTACATGATTTTGCAAAACATGCTTGGCTATCAGGGTATATAAAAAGTGTTATGGCGATTATATGTACATATATATAAATATTCATAAATAATCATATTATATCATAGCTAGTTATTAAAAAACATTTTTTCCAATCTTTAAAAATGGAGAACTCTAGAATCAATTACTTTTTTATAAATATAAATCGAATACAAACTTTCTCATAGCATCGAGGGCAAGAATCTCACGAATAAAATGCCCAAGATAAAACTTACAAATCTACAAATAGAAAAACTATTATTTAAAAAATATCTGATTTACATAAAAGAAATTTGGAAATTGATTCTCACAAAAGATGAGACAAATCTTCTAAGAACGATATATGCATGTTTAAGATACTTGTGCATATGTAAGATTGATTTATCTCGAATAATAAGAATGTAGGCAATAGTTGTTAAATATGAGCTTGAAACATTGTAAGTCACTCTACTATGATCTGTGATATATAAAAACTAATTTATTATTTTGTAGAATTTTATTTACTTTCTATTCAACTCTTCTACTAATATTTATTTTAAGTGCTACACACACACATAACGTATATTTAGTACGTATATATATAGCATACCCACACAGAACATGATGTCTATTAGAGATCCACCCGGTAACAAATTTTTCATGTATAAAATTGTATGGACATATTCGGTATATATATATATATATATAAATTTGCATAATTAGATATAATAATTTTAATTTGTGTATAAGTATATATGATTATATATCAAAACTGTTTTAAAAATATAGTTTTATAGTAAAAATATAGTTTTATATAATTTTTTGTATCTAACATGATACTAATAGAGTTATTTNGTAATTTGATATGGAATATCTCTGAAGCCATTCTCTTAAAAAAGAAATTCTCCGTGTATAAAATTGTATGGACATATTCGGCATATAAAATTTGCATAATTAGATATAATTATTTTAATTTGTGTATAAGTATATATAAAAAATTTTTTACCGGGCATACAACATCCACAGGTCCATCTCCATGATAGATGACGGATGAACGTTTAAGGGGATCCTAAACTGACGGTCAAACTCCGTCGATTTACCGACTGAGTTTACAGCTTTTGGCGTCAGATTGTAGTAATATTCGCTTAATATAAAAAGTTATGCAGTTTTTACGTAGAAAACAAACTGCGTCCCGTTTTCGGAACAACATAAAGAACAATATAGAGCTCTCAGAAATGCGTTTAGAAGCCTAATATAAATAAATAGGGCGCGTGAATATTTTCAGAACAATATTGGAATACACACACTATTTATTCATCATTTCACGCACACTATTTATTTACACTAATCTTCTAAAAACATTTCTGAGAGCTCTATATTCTTCTTTATGTTGTTCCGAAAACGGGACGCAGTTAATTTTCTACGTACAAACTGCACAACTTTTTATATTAAAAAATTATCACTACGATCTGACGCCATACGCTGTAAATTCAGTCGATAAAACAGATTCAGTTTAGGATCCCCTTAATGCATATTCATGCTATGTCCACTATAGATATCCATATAAAATCTATTATGGACATCTATTAGAGACGTATATTATATTATAAATATATAACAGACCCAACAAACTATTTCTTGACTGCGCAGACCTTGGCAACAGAAATTGTGCAGAAACGCTACAATACGGAAACATGCTTTGGTGTTGCCAAAATTGTTAGCACATAGAGGCAAAAAACGCAACAACTCTGTTGGCAAATACATGAGAGTATTGCGGCCAAAATGATTCCATATATGTTAATGAAATTGACAACAAATAGATGGTCGAAGAGAGCAGATCTGCTTTTAGCAATACTGTGACCAAACAGTCCGCAAAACGTACGAGCATCTGTTTATGACAAAACGATGACCGCAGTCGGGTCGATCTGTTGAACGCATTGACGACAGATTGTCAGCAAACGCCAAGCAGATCTGTTCGTGCATACGTGCGAACTGTTTGCATGCAAGACTACTAGACTGTCTGTTTGACATCTAGACAACAAAATGGCGATTATCTGCGATTATAGGCGATTTTTGGCGATCATATGGTACATATACCAAAGTGTACCAAACTATAGTTCGAGTGACTTCAAATTATAGTTTGGTACACTTTGGTATATGTACCATACGATCGCCAAAAATCGCCTTATATCTGTTGCCTGTGTTGATAACAGAGTGTTAACAAACATTGAACAGTCTTTTACAGTTAGACCTTGTTTATGCGGGCAATAACTGTTAACTTATGCCGGAACCGGTAAAGTTCAACTGTAAGATTTTAATACTTCTGTTTATACGTATTCGGCAATGAAGCAATCATAAATGTAATGTATTATTCTCGTATTTATTGAGTAATATGAAACAATGAGTGCTTTCCAGCTACGTACAGTCGACCCTGTGTAACACAATAATGTTCACTAGTGTGAATGAGATACACTGATATGCTCTTCCTCACACTAATAGACAGTATGTTATACATTTAACTTTAATTTTCTCGGAAATTTTACGTGATAGGTCAATTTCGCCGCCAGATTCGTTTCCAGTGACCAAAAATCCACTAAAAAACACTTTGTTTATTTAGTATCAGCATATGTTAACGAAACATTTATTCGCAAAACATTTATTCGCACTGTATAAATGTACTTTAAATTATATTTAAGAATAATAAGAAAAGTATTTTTATTTATTATTGCAGGTACATTGCACATTGCAACATTTTTAGTAAAATAATAATTTAAATAAATAATAAATGATATGTAGGATAACTTGAGAATAAGTAAATAAAAATAATTATATTAGCAAGGAACACAAGTGGTCTCCGGACTGAATGCAAGGGCTGCGAATATAGAGATCACAAAGTAAGAGTAAGGAGATCGAACTCCGTGATACAAAAGTGGTTCTGATTTTTACGGTTCATTGGGAGGGAATCCGCTCAAGGGAATAGGTTTTTACGGTTGGACGCCATTTGCAAAACTGTGCATGTACACAACTAACACATGTATACGTTTAGTGTATGTAATCTATCTTGTTACATATGGGAGAATAACGTTCTCCTGGACCGGCTTAGCACGGAGGCCGGTTTTGCCGGCGGAGAATACGAGATTCCCCTGGAGCGAACGGAATGCCGGTTTGCCCGGCGGAGAATACGCGATTTCCCGGAGCGGAGCGGAAGGAATGCCGGTTTACCCGGCGGAGAATACGAGATTCCCCGGAGCGGAGCGAAACGGATGCCGGTTTACCCGGCGGAGAATACAAGATTTCCCGGAGCGGAGCGGAACGGATGCCGGTTTACCCGGCGGAGAATACAAGATTCCTCGGAGCGGAGCGGAACGGATGCCGGTTTACCCGGCGGAGAGAATAAGAAACTTATTCTCTCGGAGAGGATCGAATCCTGAGTCGCGCTGTCGGTTTGCCCGACCGAGGAGCTTCCCCTGGTGCTTCTTGCTAGATCCGGAGATCGGACTGATCTGCCACGCTGATTTTGGCCCCGGCTTTTATATCCGCAATTTCCCGAGGAGCGGGGACGCGGGGGAAACAACAATTTATTTGTCGCGCAGGTCGCTTTGTGGCGCGGCGGGGCGCGCGGTGCGGGCGCGGTATCAGTTGGCGTTTGTCGGCGCGGGGAGCACGAGGTAAAAGCGACGCGCAGGCCACTTGTTGGCAGAGATGCCAGTTTGCGGACGCTAGCAACATGCTCAGCAAGTAGAGGGGATACACAGACGAAACGCACACAGGTGAACAGCCGTGTACGTGTGTGCTCAGCGCCTCGGCGAGTGGCTGCTCGCTTGTGTGCGCGTCCCCTCCACTTGCTGCTGCATGTTGCTAGCGTCCGCAAACTGGCATCTCTGCTTGTTGGCGCGGGGAGCGCGGTGAGAGCGGCGCGCAGGCCGCTTGTTGGCGCGGAGAGTGCGCGGTGCGGCGGGGCGTCAACCGCCCGTACAGCGTGTATTGCATATATGTAATACTTCTATATGGCTAGTTGAGCTCTCAGCGCGGTTCCAACACTACGGTGCAGACAATGCTCTACTCTCTTTATTACTCTTTATCACTGTTCAGTTTGTTCGAAAGCGCATGCGTGACATGTATCCATAATGCGTATAT